CGAGAATCTCGACACCGCCGTACTGCCCTCCGGCTGGCATATGGATGAGCATGGCTACCTGCAGCTCGACGATCGTGTCACCGACTACTGGGAGCTGAAAGCTGGCTGCCTCATCAGGCATCACATGATCCCTCGCCGAGGCCGCATGCACCTCGAGCACCTTCCAAAAGACTGTCCTGTCCAGCTCGATCAGCTCGACCACATCAAGATCACCATGGTGCACCAAGCGGACGGCAAGAGCCGACTGTTCACCGATGATGGAACGGTGACAACTCCTCCTGAAGGCATTTCTGGTGCCTGGACTGGGACTACAGTCTTCCAACTCACAGGCGACACCAGGCGAGAGATGGCCATGTACACTGGCACTCACCTCATCCGCACAAGTGCTCGCCAAGTCGCTAAGGACCAGAAGAAGGCCTACAACAAGAAAGTCAAGAAAGACAAAGGGGGAGTCAATGAAAGACTTCTTGGACCACAAGAACGAGCACTGTTCAAGGAAGCCAAGGTCAAGGAACTGAAGTCCTTCTTCGACCATGGCGTATGGGCATTCCAAACCACAGCTGAGGCAGATGAGTCCAGGACTTTGACCTCCAGGATCCTTTTGAAGTGGTCAGAGAACGAAGATGGAAGCCCAAGAGCAAAAGCCCGACTGATCGTCAGAGGCTTCAACGATCCCGATGCACTAGCTGGCACTATCACCACCTCGTCTCCAACGACCACCAGGCTTTCAAGATCCATGGTCCTCTCCCTGGCTGCCAACATGCATTGGCCCACCTGGACTGCAAATGTGAGCACAGCGTTCTTGCAGGGCCGACCACAGACCCGAAAGCTGTGGGTCAAGCTTCCTTCCGAAGCCCTGCAACTGCTTGGAGCCTCAGAGGACACGAGGATGCTCCTACTGAAGCCCTGCTACGGTCAAACAGATGCTCCACGAGGTTGGTTCCTTGAAGCTGTCGACCGCCTCCTACGAGCAGGACTTCGCCAACATCCTCTGGACCCTTGCGCTTTCCTCATCTACGAAAGGGATGACAGCAACTTCAATGAGAATGACCCCATCCATGAGGAGACGAGCACCCTGGGCCCAGAGAAGTTGTGTGGTATGGTCATCATGCGTGTAGATGACATGCTTGGAGCCGGTTGCCCAAAGTCACCACGCTACAAGGCCGTGACCGACCTCCTTCGCGCCAACTTCTCCTTCCGAGAGTGGAAAGAAGACCTTCCCAGACTGGAATACTGTGGCTGCGAGCTTGAGAAGACACCCGAAGGCGGAAGACGCCTGCACCAAGAGAACTACTTCAGCAAGGTCAAGCCCATCACGATCCACAAGAACCGCAACCCTCATGATCCACTCTGAGAGAGAGAGGGAGAGAGAGAGATCACTCAGGTCAGGGGCTTGTTGGGATCAATGCAGTGGCCTGCCGTGCAAACATCTCCACACTTGCAATGCTCCACCTCGATGCTCTCAGGTCAGATCACAAAAGCCACAACAAGCACCATCACAGAGTGCAACAAGCTCCTCAAGTTTGCAAAGGATCACAAAGATGTGAGCCTCTTCTACAACTACATCGGCCACCCATCGGAGCTGCAGTTGCTATGTTTCTTTGATGCTGGCTTCACTGCCCGAGCAGATGGGAGCTCACAAGGTGGCTACATCCTGATGCTTGTCAACAAGCAGCTGTTCACCTCGGGCGAGGATGGAGAGTACCACGTCCTTGACTGGCGAAGCTTTCGCACGCCTCGAGTCACGAGGAGTTCACTGGCTGCCGAAGCCCAGGTTGGCGGCCAGGCTGCTGACAGCATTGACTTTGCATGTCGGTACTGGCATGCCCTCATGCACCCCGACCTCAAGCTGAAGGAGCTGCTCAAGGCACCATCCAATGCAAAAGCTCTCTATGACTCCTACCACCGAGAAGGAGTCAGCTCTTCCGTGGTTGACAAACGAGTCAGCCTGGAGATTCGTGTGATGAAAGAAATGATGGAGGAGCTGGAAGGTCAACTTCGTTGGATGAGCTCAGAACGGCAAATCGCCGATGGACTCACCAAAGAGTCCGCAAGGACACTTCTTGCCGCTCGCCTACGGCATCGTCGCTTGAAGCTCACCTGGGATCCAAACTATGTGGCCTCGAAGAAGAAGTCCAAGAAGGAGAAAGAAAAGGCCATAGCTGAAACGACCCAGCTTGAGACAACGCCCAACGACGTTGCTGAAGAGCACCATGTCCCTGTGAAAGAGCCCACTCCTGAGAATGTCAACCTGGCTGACTACCCAGAGAATTTTGAGTATGAGGAACAGCCAAAGCTCGAAGAAGCTCCTGCTACCGCCTACCTTGCACAGAATGTGAAGGCCCTCACGTATGTCTTCGCCATGAGCCATGGCGGCAGCTGTTCAAAGAATAACCTGACAGGTCGCATGCCGAATGTCCTCCTGGCACTGCTGATGTTTTCTTTGTTGGCTATGGCACGAGGCCAACAGTGTGAGAAGGGAGAAGAAAAGGAAGAAAGCTATGAGCACCTCTGGCTGTGGCTTGCCATTTTGGCCCTGATCCACATCATTCTCATGACCGGCATCTTCATGGCCGGCCGCTGGAGCTGCCACCATGAGCTTGCACTGAAGCCCGTGACCAAGGAGGCCGAGATCCAAAAGGATGAACCCATAGTTCACGCACGTCTGCGTGAGCTGCTGAGTCAAGAAAAGAGTCGCGCTGATGAAGCCCAGAAGTCTGCCCAAGAATCCCGAGCTGCCCTGAACCTCCAGATCGACGAGGTGCAGAACTTGAGAGCGTTGACCACGGACGCTCATCGTCTCTTCCGAGACGCCATCATGGAGATGGAGCTGCACTCATCCCTGTGCCCTTTTACAAGGCCTGTTGTCATAAAAGTAGATTCTATGCAGCGCTTCGAAACAGTAGTCTTGCGCCTTTCTGTTCGGCTCTGCCCCTGACTGCGGCTGATATCGCTTGGAGCAGCCTACACTGCACCTTCTACCTGGGTCCTTGCTATTGTGCAGCAGTCGCCACTGGCCTGTCTGACACCCGTCCGGAACGACCGTGACCGCCTCCACTGGTGAATGTTGGCATCATGAGACCTGCCACATCGTCCGACAGATCACCTCCAACCTGATGACGAGGCGAGCTTGCGCCTACTGTGCGTCCCTGAGACCTCCGCCTGACAGAATCGAGAGCAATAGCGGCACCTCGCTGTGCAGGGAAGTCGATGCTTGGTTGGCTGACGCCGATCCGTGGCGTCCTCCCACTTGTGGGTTGAAAGATTCCCCTCCATGTGAAGATGCTCGCTGAGCATCAGTGACATGACATGTCACATGTGTTTTTCACTTGTCCGGACCTCAGACTACCGCCTGCAGAGGGCGGGCTCAAAGAGTCCAAAAGCTGGGCTGCGCGTGGCATTCATTTGCCTTCGGTTCGAACTCGTTCGTACCCGCTTTTTCCTTGAAGTGGACTTCGTGTGCCGCTACACCAATTCGACAACAACAAATAACGACTGTTTCATTGGTTTAGCCTTGGTTGTGGTTGTGGAGCTCAGTGCATCATTTCTGCAAGCTTAGGAGCAGGGCATTTGGCACAACAGCGACGTGACTGACACTTCACGTGTCGTTTCAAACTTCACGTATCGGTGCTTCCTGTCTGCACACCGCTGCCTTCTGATATTTCTTGCAAGTCTGCGCTTGCACTGGTTTTCACGTGCAAAATTCAACAGGGCCATTCACAAGGCTTTGCTTGCATAACTACAGCTCCTATGATTCTGGCACTTTCATGCCTTGCATGTCTCTGTCAGACACGAAGCAGGTGGGGTAGCTCACCTTTAGTACTGGGTCTAGATATCGAAGCCATTCGTGTGCACGCGTATCGCATGCTATTGTTTCATTGAAACGAGAAGAATTGAAACCGTGCTGGTAGTATTCGCTCTCAAGACTAAAGGCCGCCTGTTGCCAGCCAGTAGCAGCGAAAGGACGGACGAAGCTTGCGCACTCCTCAGGAATCGGTGCATCAAGGTAAGCACAAGTCTTGACTCCTGCATAGGCAGTGGGACTAAAAGCCACTTGCAACCCACAATCAAAAGGGTCGCACACAAGCACGATGTCATTGGACTTTGCCACAGCAGACATCTGCTCTTCAGTGAAGTTCATCTCATGGGTGAGCACATAGTCGAAAGGTTCTGCGCCGATGGTAAAAGCTTTCAATATTCCTGGCTGCTGTGCTGCCACCGCCATCGCCAGCATACCTCCCAATGAGTGCCCTGTCAACAAGATATGGTACCCACAGAATGCCTTCTGCACTCGTCGAACGAACCTGTCAGCTTGAGTAGTGAAATCCAGCAAACTTGAATATATCGAACACTGCGCTGCCCTTATTTCTCTTGCAATGTCCGTTACGTTCCCCCACGAACGTGCACGCACATCGGCATAGCACAAATCTACCTTGCACTGTTCCAGGGTGGGATCGCCACAGCCTCCTTTGAAAGCAATGACGACACGTTGGCTCTTGTTCTGCACAAAAACGCGTGCAATAGGGCCACCGATTATGGGATCCATGTCAAACGCAAAGGCTCGATCCCAAGACCCCTCTGTCCAATTCAATGTGGCGTTGGCTTTCTCTGGGAAATCTGCCGTCACCGGAGCTGAAGTGATGTAAGAAAGGGCGATGGCTTCCGCAACCACTGCCAGGAATGACGTCCATATTCCTCTTGGGGTGTTGGTCAAGTATGCATCGAAATTCCAACCGCCATCTGCTGGCAGGTCAGGAATTGTTGGTTCGCTCAGAGTGCGACCTCGACGTTGCAGCAAGTCTAGCGCACCGCCGTCATCGCAATCAAGGCATGTAGCCATGGCAAGCAACAAATGGGTCCCCCTTCCGTTGGAGCTCCAACCAACCATCAATCTTGTGAGGGCGAAGGAAGGTCGAGCCTTCAGATGACTCAAGGGCCCTTTGACCCAACGTGGCATCCGGAAATGGATAGGATGCATGGCATGAAATCCTCAATGAAACACAGTTGCATTGTCAGCAAGCACATCCACAGATTTAGAGGATTGAGAGCTCAACCGACCAACGGAACAAGTTCTAGTCTTACCACTTGTCTGCCTGTCTGCACCCATCGCACTTTTTGCGACAGCAGAGTCTTCGTCCCGTGCAAGGGGCCTAGTCATATCTCACATCCATCCAATCCTCAAGGCAAGATCGCACCTCAGGGAAAGGATCTTGCAACTGCACAAACATGCACAAACAGCATAACAACATTCCAAAGACCTGATGCAAAGCTGTAACACAAAAAGTATCCACTATAGCCACTAGAACAAGGCTTGGTCCCATGCTCTTTGTGGCTGGCGCAATCCTGACTCGATAAAGCCACCTGTCACTCGTTCTTAATGTCAAAGGACTGGCACCATGGACCTCAGTTCTTCAAAGCTCTGCAGAAACCAGAAAAGTCGCAAAAAAACGTTTTACACCCTTTGGTGGAAAATCAATAGAATATGCAAACACCGAGTCGCCAAGCTGTCACTCTTTGTGAAGGGCTCCGCCGACAACCAATCAACCAAATATGCTTGCATCGCAACAAACCACCAAACTGGGCTCTCACTTCGTTTTGAGCTGCACCATCCTTCCAACACCCCATGCTAAGTGCACGTTACATGCGATCTTCTATTCGGGGATCAGAAAGCTACTTAGCATCCCGGGTGCCTGCACTCAACAAATGGGTTTGTCTCAAAATGAGAGCCTATCGCCGGCAACATGGGAAGGAGCTTTTAATATATAGCGACAGCTTTGCGTATTCCGCAGAACAGCAAGTGACCCAGACCAAGCTGAACAAATGGAAGCACATTTCTGTACCAACTACAATTGCAGAACCCTTCGCTCAGGGGCCACGCTTTGAAAGCAGCCCACTGCGTGCGAAAAGCCTTACTGGA